AAATATAAAAATAAAACTACGACCAAACCGAACGCGCGAAAGAAAGTAGCATTTTTATATTTAGGTTGAAAATGGTAACCCCAAATGGCGTTATGGGCCGCCATTTTGTGACGCTAAAACAGTCGTCTGTTGTCGTTTCGCGTAGACCACGTTCTTCAAGTGTTTTCGATCTGTTTTTATTTGATTACCCGGCTTTCGTTTAATGGACTGTTTCTGCTTTTCAAACTGACATCGGCGCTAAGAGTGGTTCCAGAACGTGCTTTTGCCCAGCCTACCAGAGCCTTCTGTAATATTCATGGATAATGCCTCCTATCACTCGGTTCAAATACAGAAACCACCTACCCAAGCTAATAAAAAAGAAGAAATGGTGGCTTGGTTACAAGCAAAAGGCATTGACGCAAATATGCAGATGCTAAAACCAGAGCTAATTAAATTAGTAAAAGAAAATAAAGCGGCAAATGTGCGATACGAAATCGATGAACTGGCTCTGGAGTACGGTCATCGCGTTCTAAGAATTCCACCGTATCATTGCCAATATAACGCGATTGAGCTAATCTGGGCTCAAATAAAAGGTTACGCCGCCCGCCACAATACTTCCCCGCCATTCAGCACGAAAAGATGATGACCCTATTAAAAGAAAAGGGAAGTCACAAGAGATGACTGGGCAAAGGTTGTTGAGAAGACTAAAAACCTGATTGTGGAACATTTTGACCGAGATATCAGGATTGATTCTGTTATTGATAATAATATAATTATACATGTAGGCGAAGATGATGATGAATACACCACCACCTCAAGCGAATCGGAGTCTGATTAATATTCTGTACGCACATTCAATTCAATGTACTTTATTGCATAGAAATACAGATTGTAACTTTGTAACAATGAATAAATAAAACAATTTTATTATATTAATATTACCTTTTTTTTGGTTTCCACTTAAATTACTAAAATATAAATTTTAAATGATTCCGCCAATTTAAAACGAAAATAATCTTAAAAATAACGCGGCGGTTCATTTTGGAGGAACGGTAACGAACTCAGTGTTATGTTGTGCCCATCATTAGTCGTGACTAACTGATAGGTGTCAAGAACGCATTCTCTGAACGGCCGAATTATAGTAGTCTGATTCGCTGCAAAAATTGATGATTGAATTGAAATCACAATCCATTCCATTCATTACAACCAGAAAAGTTCACTGCTGTACTTGCGTCTCCTCCATAGATTGCTTCATAGGGGGCATTTTGCCATAATTGTGATGCTTGTCAGGCGGGTAACCACAGTTTTTATCAAGATTCATGAGTTGTTACAAAGAAGTTGTTACTACTCTGTCCCATTTTCCCTCTATCACACTCTTATGACACTAATGAGACAATATAAGGTAGTAGACATTCTTACACTACCAGTACACTACAATAAATCACAATGAATTCCAAGTGGTTATTCCCTGGCGTGTGGAGGCCGCGTTAGAGAATTAAATTCTTGTATCTTAGGAATCTAAGAGTCAATATAGTGTAATTCTCGAAAGAAAGTGAAAGAAGAACTCCGATAAATGGCTGCATATCCTTAATATCTTTACGGCAAATGCATAATATCCAGACCAGAAATGGGCAGCTGCGTTAAAGATGCGAGGCCTCTGATAATACGATCGTTAATCCACCCACAAAGCGTGGCAATTATTGCAAAGCCCCTATCCCGAAATTCCACAATGTCAGAATCACATATTATGTAGTTGACTATTACTGGTTGAGGAGGAAGATGTTTTGAAAAATAATAAATATGTGGCCTTTTGAGCCAGCTTTTAAACAGCGACACAGATTTTAGCTTCATTTGAACTCATAGGTTTTTCATGTTTTTGCGTCGCTCTACCTACTTTCCGTGACTGAAGCGTGGTGGTTGGCGGAGCTCCCAAAGAAAGCTCAATCTCTAACCCCCTCCAAACTTCATCATTATCAACATCATCACCAAGTCCGGTGCTGAACATAGACCTCTTTCAGGATCAAAACATGGACCTGAACCACCTGCTTTTTATAACAATAAATACTATAGTACGTTTATATGCAGTGGCGAAGCTTCCATTAAAGCCGAAAAGCCGGGCTTGCCTTATTAAACCTGAATCAATCAATAATATCAACTAATAAAATAACTCGTAAAATGTTTCAAGCTATTTCAAATTTCCCGCGCACTCCACTGTTCGACACATGTCGACCGACGACCTCGTATTAGCGAGTATTAGCGCCTTAGCGATACTGCTGCTGTTACTGTCATAAAAAATGAGTTTTAATAGAGCTAATAGTTGTCTCCCTCGCTCGCGTGGGCTTTTTCGGGGCTTTCGAGAAGACAATCGCTCTCTTTCTAACCTATGGCAAAATATTCTATAATGAAATATAACTACGATTGTATATACAGCAATTAGTATAGAGATTTAAAGCCAGGCTTTTGGGAATAAATTTGTTAAAAGCGGAGGCACGCGGGCAATACGTTTGCAAGTTCATTTCACGTTTCAATGTTTATTTACTCTGTGTGCTTATCTTAAGCGATTTAATATTACGAGTTCAAAATTTATGCTTTTTTAAAGATTTTTAATGAAAATGGAGGATAATAGTGTTCCTTGTGATGAATTGAAGTGTGTTAAAGTGATACACAAGGTTAAGAGTGTATTTCAGACTTATCAATTATCGCAATTAAAAACAGTTATTGGTACAATTAAAACGTTCACCAACATTTTACGTGGACGTAATTAAATCTTTCCATAAGAAAGCGATACGGTTCCACTTATCTTATCTCTTATCCATTAGAATGTAAATAATATATTTTTTAATTTTGTACATAGTTTGTTTGTACTTTGTTCGTGTTTTACTTTTGTTCATGTATTGTATTGGATGTAAATATTTTTTTTCTTTCGCTTAAACAAACCCAAACGGCTTTCTTCAAAGCCACCGAAGCTATGCAATTGCTGATATGTAATACAATCTATCTAGCAGTGGTATGCCTTCTGTGTGCTTTGTTAAACACGTCCTTGACAGCACTGAATATGAAACTGAAGCGTGGAGACAGATCAAGATTGGTGTATTTTTATAAAACTGCTAAAAACAACAATCTATATTTTTATCAACTTATATCTTAAGCTTGCCCTAGCTTGGAGCTCTAGCTTCGCCACTGTTTCTAGGGCAGGCGGAAAAAAGTACATTGACAATATCATCGGGGTAGGCAATCTTCTTTGGTTTGGTTCATTTTTTTATCCTTTTATCATTACATACATCATCAGAATGAAATATGAGGGTGCCGAGTGCGAAGTTCTTACAGGCCCTATATCTATTATTATATTATTAAGAAAGAAGATTATCCTGTACCTAAATGAATTTAAAAGCAAATTAATATTAATTAAAATTTATTATTTATAAATCATAATCACGATTTTCATTATTACGTTAATAGTAGGTAAGTACTTTAATAACTAGGTAGGTAGGTAGTTGTATAAAACATAACCACTTCTTGGCAGTCAGGTAAAAAGACGAACTTTTAATGCTAAGCATTCTTAAGCATTCATTAAGCAGCCAACCTTGAAGCATGCATAAAACTTCTCATAATAGATTGTCAGAGACACTTGACAGACTATTCATCTGTATCTATTTCAGAATCATTTTATGACGATGAAGACGTAGAAGAGTCCGTCACATTGATTATAACCTAAAATATCGGCAGTCTTCTTTTTTATATCCGTTTTGGATGGATATACGTCACTAGATCACGTTTCTTTTACGTATTTATAGATGTTTACAATCATTATTTTTTCGGTTTTTGAAATATGCGACACTTTGCTTCTTTCGTGGTGACGTAAAGTATTTATGAGATTTTCATGTCGTTGGACCCGATTTAATACTAGTGTTAATATATAAAACGTCACAAAACAATAACAAAAGCCTTAATACAAAACGTAAAAATACAACTAACAAAACAAACTTAATAAAAATTTAAACAACTACTATAACCGAAAATTTTAAATCTCAAACTATCTACACGCAAGCGCATCCCAAAGCAGAATGAGCAATGAGTTCTGCTCCATCCGCTTTCTCAAATACACACGGCGTGAGACCTATCGCAAATCGCGCCGAAACGGGTTTATTATCTCTGATTGACTGCTTCCTTCACCCTACCCCGTACCATGAGACACACTTAGCACATAACGATACGTAATGTATAAAGAAATGTATGGAAGCAATAACTGTCGTTTTGTTTCGATGCCAACATATACTTGAGGTCAATGTACTTTTTTCCGCCTGCCCTAGAAATGTACTATAACATTAGCAAATACCGCTATGCTATGATATAGTACCTCAGGGGCTAAGTAAACTATTCTGTAGTTGACTTTTACAGCTTGAGGAGGAAGATGTATTTTTATTGTTTTATTTAGAAAACCAAAGTAATAACAAAAATGTATAATAAAATAACAAAATTTATGGTCCTTAAAGCCGGATTAGAACCAGCTGATAAGTTATTTAGTCTTGTTCTAATAATTATAAGGTTGTGGTAAGGAGTCATTCATTAATTACGTAAGGATGATTTTGGCGATAAGAGTACACAAAATTTCTCGAAACCCCACTTACTCTTTTTACATAAGATTCCAGACGGTAAAAGCTAGATCAATTCAGATCATCAATCGTCGGAAAAAATGTACTATATTTATTATTTATAACATTTAAAATAGTTAAAAATGAATACATTTAAGATTTTAATATTTTAATAAACAATAAAAATGTGGAAAATAAGATGTAAATAGAAGTGTACATTTTAGAATGAAGCAAACCATTCAGCATCCGAAATTGAACTAGATTTCAAATGTTAAATTTCGACGAAACGACGAAATATTACGTAACAATGGGTTTTAACCCCCTCAAAACAATGGCATGTAGAATTTTTTTAATACCGCTTGTCCCCTCACCCTCGAGACCCTTACGTAACGAACGGTAAAGTAATATAAAGGAAAACTCGATTTGTAGATCGAAGCAACGGAGTTTCGTTGGGAGGATTTGCCCGGGGGACGTCAGGCTGGACGCAGTAGACAGGCATTTGCCAATGAAATGGCTCGCATGGCACGACAAGTACGTGAGGTGTTGCCAGCCGTGCCCGAGCGAGACGTATTACGCGACTTAGGTAAGTACCTCTGCTAATTAAATTAACTGTTGTTTAAACCAAGTTCTAGTACATATCAGTTTGATTTTATTTTTACCTAGTCGGATACCCGACGAGAAATAATTGTGAAAATATCGTCTTAAATTTGGAAGAGTAACATAGGTTAATTAGGAATGGTAATACATTTATTGAAATTGAATGTTATAATGACTTTTAAATAAATGTGTTGTAAATTAATCATACTATGCCTATGGGCTTCAGCAAGTGCAAGTAATAAGTTTTATCGCAACATGATTTTATAAAGTTAGATGTATCAACACTTCCTACTGTCAGTTATCTGATTTTTGTTAATTTTTAATTCTAGTATTTTTTTTTATAGAATAAGAGTGACAAATGTGACACAGTCCACCTGATGACAAGTGGTGGTGGACAAATAGATGGCGCTAATTTCAGATTAAAACTATGAAAGCCAAAACTCTCAAGTTATGTAAATGTGGTCATGAAGTGTTGGACCACTTCAAATATTGCAATCATATCATAATAGCTCATTATTACTGACCATCTCTCCATAGTATAAAATAAAGTCTCGCTGAGACTCACCGATTTTGATGAAATTTTTTGTGTGTATTTAAGTGGGTATGGTTTAGATTTACAAATTGGTTTAGATTTTATATCCGGTAGGTGGTGCTGTTACCGATATCCAGGAATCACCCGTGCTAAGCTCTGGTGAATCTTTAGTATCGTATAAATGTCAATGTTTGTCAAATTTATCCTCAATCTACAATTGAATCTACGAAGTCAACTCTCGTTTCGCCATAATATCGTACGAAAACATCATCTAGTAATATCACAGTATTCTGTGGGCCATAAACATTTACATGTTTATCCTCAAATATGAATGAATAATGAAGATGCGTTCGCACCCCTGCACACATAGCACTATTAGGCTGCTCTTTCAGACTGCTATTCTGTGAGAGTGTGATCCTTCTCTAATTGAGCCGACACATTGGTGCTAACATAGTTTCAGCATGTCTACCTCATACAATTTGAGCAAACTTTTATAATAATCTTGTGTAAATTTTAACTTGATCCAGTAATATTAATGCGATATGTATTAGAGCCATGCCGCAGTTATATTAGTTGTATGGTTGTAGCACGAATGGGTCGGCTCGATCGGGGAAGGACCACGCTCTCACAGAATACCAGCGTAAAATAGTTGCCTAATGTTGCTGTTTTGTATGATGAGTGTAGAGATCCTGAGACTCTTTTAACTGGAAACGAGGCATTCCATCTTAGCCCTCACGGGTGACAACGCATCTGCATTTTGATTCGTAATCGAGGATAGATGTAGGTGTCTATGTGCCGCAGCAACCACTTACCATCAGGTGGACTGTGTGCTCGTTTGTCACCCTATCCTATAAATTAAAAAAAATGAAGTTGTTTTATATTTTGAAAGTATCCAATTATGTTGTTTTATTATGTTATTGATTCATAAATTGTTAACATAAGTGACAGAATAGAATACAATAATTTTTGTTCAATATAGATTGTATGCTGAATAAACATGCCTTTCTTATTGAAAGTCAATTTTTTAAAACTTATCCTGGAAGAAATCAGCAAAAATCCGAGCAGGACTTTTTGTTTAAAGTAACAATTTACAGTATATAATAGAATAGAACAGGTTGTAAAAACTGTATAATAAATAGTTTCGAAACCTTTTTAATTGCGCAGACAATTGTCGATTTTTTAGTTACTGTGATATACAATTAAAGATTGAAAGATTATCAATTTGTTATGTTTTCTTACTAGCGAGAACACGCAGTGTTGATGTGACGATAACGAACTTCCTGGAAGGCATCACTCCCTACAATCCGGAGCCCGAGGCGGCAGCGGAGCCCCGGGCGGGTCCCTCGCACGCGCCCAAGTACGTGACGCCCGCTCCCACGGGAGTCTTCCCCAGGAGCGCTAAGGAACGACAACTCAGCTTCCAGGAGCGGAAAGAACAAATGATAGCCGAAGCGAGGAAACGATACATCGAGAAACACGGACTCAACGTCGCTTTGAATTGTTGAACGCCCACGACTGTAATTTTACGATAAATTAGGTGACCTTTGATTCGAAACATTGTATATTGAAACTTCTTCTTCTTCTTTTAATAAAACTATTAAAATTGTGATAGATATTATTTGCATTTTAATTTCTTCATAAACACTTCTTACTAAAGAACTTCAAAGGTTTTTTTTTCGGAAATCAAATAGAGACAGAAAAAACGAGAACTCTAATATTTGCACTAATTGAAGTCTATATTGCGAAATATAAGGATAAACTGTAAAAATCAGTTTTGTTAATCGATTTAAGTGTTGTCATTACCGATGTAACGAATACCGCAATGGAAACAATTTAATATAAATAACGCGGCCTTTTCAAAATGATTTATTTCTGTTTTATTCAATTTACGTATTTATACATAACAGGATAGTATGTCATATAGTTAGTATAAATGGAAATTTTCAAAAAACCGGTTTTAGCTTATTGCTAAAATCCGCAATTTTGAACGAGATTCAGCTTTTGTTCTAGCATGGTAGAAAGTAGAAAAGTTAAAGAGAATTATCAGAAGCCAAGTAAAAGTCATTTGTAATTGTAATATAATTTATATGTAAATATTACAATGTTGAATTTTTTTATTCTCTCATACATTTGCCACTGATCACTTTATATAATTTTTTATGTAGGCAATTCAGTTGACTTTTTTTTTAAATAAGATGGTTTAATTGCAATATTCATGCTTGATGGTTTTAAACTAATAGATGTTTATTATTTAACAACGTGAATGTGTTTTTATTCAAAGTTTTCTAAAACAGTCAATTTATCGTAGAATTATAAGTTAACTTTTCGAAATTACAAACTGTGAATTATGATAAGTTTAAAGTAGTTGAGAGTGCCTAAATTGAAAGTAGTATTTAATTAAAGTCATATTTATTGTAAATAAATTGATAAAATCCTTTCTTTACCATCCTTCATATAAAAAATGGTTAAATTTATTTCCTTAAAAGATTATATTAGCTTGTAATTATTAACTTTGCTTTACAAAAATTAATTTTATTTTTGTTTCTTTGTGTCATTCTAAAAAAAATATTCGTCATAGTTAAAGCACGTGTATTTTGTAGTTTTTTATATTAATTATAGTTTTCATCGAAGTTCAGAATTGTATTATTTGAAGCTAAGGACAAGAAGTCATAATATGTAACATTATGATGGCGTAGAAAATATGCAATGTACTCCCCTAGTGTAAACTAGAGCAGCGACACGAGCCACCGGCGGATCGAAGGGGAGTAGTCACACGCGGGCGCGGTCCTATGCGTACAATAAAACTAGTTTATTAGTTGTAGCCCCGCTGCTGGCTATACTAAATTTAGTTGCGTAGCTGAATCTCATTCCTTCAAAAATTCCGGATTGTTCGGTATTTTGGCTGCAAAAAAGATTTGCCACGCATATACACACATTTTTATTGTTTTTTTTTAAGAAGTAGCCTAATGGCAGGGCGCGGACCGCGAACTCAAAAAGTTCGTGGGTTCGAATCCGTCCTTCGACTACTGGCGTGAACCACTCGTAACACAAGCAATTTAAGCTTACCACGAGTGGTCAAGGGGAATATTAGTAATATTTATAGCATTGTTAATATTCTTTTTTTTTTAATAAAAAAAGAAGTTTCTATGACCTTTAATACGAAGTAGCATAAGTAATTTTAATCACATCATTGCTATTTTCCTCTTTTTAAACTTAAAAATTACAACTACAAATTCACAACGCAAAATTACAACTAGAAATCCAAAACAACAAGACGGTTTAATAACAAGTCTTGTTGTTTTGAATTTATTTACCAACAAAGGCCGCTCGCCTTCGTACAATATTGTCGTTGTCAGTGAGCGATACTGTTACGTTGTGTCTATATGTCAAATTGTTATGTTTGAGTTTCGTTGTGACAGACAATTCTATATCGGGGTAACACGCCTATGGCTACTCCCCTCCGGTCCGCCGGTGGCCCGTGTTGCACTATGAGTGCAAATAGCCTGACGTGTTCATTTAATATTCATTGTCGAAGAACTTTATAAAAATAAAAAAACTTCCCACTCTCTTTTATTCTGGTGGTACTAATTTGATAAGTAAAAATAATGTTGTCGGTATAAAAATGGAGTTTTGATTTCCTATGACAACGAAATAAATGTTAAGTTATAAAAATATCGTTTTAATATAATATCATTCTAAAATTTTATTTTACGATCATAAAATAAAGAGAGCAATTTTGTAGTACGATGTTGAACCCCAACAGTGTTTGGTCTGTTGGAGACAAAGATTTCTATGTATAACTACTAAACGGGCATTACTGTACTAATAATGTATTATTAATACATTGCGCACTAAGTTTCGGTTAATTCTAAGTATGTAACTTATTAAGTCAAATACGAGCAAGCGAGAAGACTAGTTCTTTGTTGTGTAAACCGCGAACGTTGTTTTCGGCAATCTATAAAATTGATTTTGTTTAATACAACTAAAATAAAGTTGTCATTATTTATGTGTGCACTTTGTCATCGTGATTTGAAGTTTATTTCAGATAAGTATGTAACGTTATTTCGTATTTGCTTAAAAACATTAACTGGTTGTAAATGAAAATACAACTGTGTACTGCGTACCCGCTGGAGTCCGTGCGATTCATAGTTTTTGTTCTAAATTGTCTGTCTAATAGTGTACATAGAAGTCATAAGTGCTTGGTACATCTACAAAAATTATCGATTCAGCTTCGATATCTATTATTTGTTAAGTCAATAAAGATTTATATTTTTATATAGTGTTTAGAAACATTTGTTGTATATTTAAGCATAGTGTATAGGGGCTTCCCTAACGTAGATCTCTTTTTTTTGAATGTAATTATTATGAAAGATATATTCATTTTCGTAAATATTTTGTTTATGTTCTGTTTAAAACAATATGTGTAAAAGATATCTTTTTATTTTAAAATTGTTTGTATTGCACAGAGAAGTGCTCATTATTGATACATTTTAAATTGTTTTAGATTTTAATAAAATTATTTTAATATACTATGACTCTGAAGTCCGTTTAAAAATAAAAATAATTAGGTGTTTAAAACAGTTGCTAAAATATTTTTATATTTTATCATTGATTAAAACGTAGTTGACACTTTTCAAATCTATTCCAATGTCCTTTGTCTTGATATTAGAATAACTGAAGGACATTAAGGGATTAAAAATAATTAGTACACTAATTGCCAATTGTAAGCATTTTTAGACTAAAAAAATCAATTTCAATTATAGGGATAAACTAGCCCATGTAAAATTAAAATAAAATCAATAAAAGCTATATGTATTGGGTTTTATTGTAATATACTATAATAGTATAAAAGTAAAATCACTTATCACTTTCTTCGTGTGAGATGATAGCTTAATAACATCTATCTAATACATATTTATCAAAATATACGGGGTAATTTTTTAAAGAGTAGCCAAAATTTAAACTCAATTTCAAATATATAAATAATGATATACCGTTATTGCAGTTTTTGAAAAGACGAGTAAATAAGGCGTCTAATTTCCAATTTTCAATTTGGGATAACTTCAAATGAAGTGATCCCAAATTGAAAATGATTTATGGGCAACAACGATTTTGCCTACCGATCGACCCCTAAGAATGTGTGCGTGCGCAGTAAAATCAGTAAAAATAATGTATTAACACACACATTTTCAATTTAAAAATTAAAAAGAACAGAATGTTTGAAAGCTTTTTTAATTAATTTTTCTTTACTATTTGCCTATATTACTTATTCTGTAAATGGCCGGTTTTTGCAAAATAACCTTTTATACCAATATTTTAGTGAAGACAATTCTTCCTATTCGGCTTTTTGCGTCTAGTACAGATTAAGTTCGTAATTTGAGAAAAATTAGTTTTTAATAAATAAAGATTTTTTCAAAATAAATTATAATTTTTATTTTAAGAGACTACTCTATTTCTTATTTAGAAATAAGTATAGTAGTGCGCAACATTTATTATGCCTAGTGTCTATTTAACGTATTTCACAAATATATATATATATATATATATATATATATATATATATATATATATATATATATATATATATATATATTCTGTATTTATTATATTTCCAACGAGGTTTGCTATCATCTAATGAGTATTAAAAAAACCAAGTCTAGTAATGCTGTTAACATTATTAATACTCCCTTCTCGAAGTAAATTCTTAAAATGCTTATCTTAGGGGTTGTCCACCACAGTAGTATCTGACTTTGCAGTCCAAACCCTTTACAAATAGCCTACTTTCGCTTAAAAGCTTCGAATATAATATTTAAAAAATTAAGCAGGACAAAATTATTTTCATCAGAATTCAACTACGTAAAACGAATTTAGTTTGCAATACATAAGTGAATGAATGTCATTTCAACTACGAAATGTAGATAACGCTGAATACACATTTGTCCGCACCGTACGCTTACGTTGCGATGTTACGAAGCGTACCTCCTGAAATGTATTAAAAATATATTTCGAAATCAAAGTCGAAATCACCAGTTTTAGTGGAAAATCCATAAGTTGGCAACATTACACAACACAGTATCAGCACGCGTCGAACGTGCCGCATTATATGACGTCATCAACATGCGTCCTTTAATATTCGGATACCTACCACATGTTATAAAATGCAGCGCGTACAGTGCGAGGTTTCATATGATTTCACACAACGAACTCTAAAATGCGGTGCGTACGGTGCTGATAAACGTTCGGCTTAAGAGGGTATATTGCATGCACTTCCGCGAAGGTTATAGGCATAGCACATTTAACTTACAGTATTTTTTTTATAGAATAAGGGTGACAAACGAGCACACAGTCCACCTGATGGTAAGTGGATGCTATGGCCCATAGACACCTCTACACTTATCTTCGATTAAGAATAAACGCGCAGGGATGTTGTCACCCCTGAGGACTAAGATGGAATGTCTCGTTTCCAGTAAAAAGGGTCTCAGGATCTCTACACTCACCATACGAAACACATCAGTATTGAGCTGCTATTCCGTGAGAACGTGGTCCTTCCCCAGTCTAGCCGGCCCATTCGTGCTACAACCGTAATATAGCTGCAGCGTGGCTATACAAAGTAGGTGGTACGCGTATCGTAACCCACAAATTTATTTGAAAGTTGTATTATTATACATCATAATCAGAATTTATAATCATTCTTCATTAAGTAATATAATTCTTCCAAATTTAAAACGATATTTCCATAATTATTTCTTCTGCGGTAGCAATGCATCGGGTAAAGTTACAGCCTATATACGTCCCACAGCTGGGCACAGGCCTCCCCTCATTTCTAAGAGAGTTAGGGCAAGGAAGTGTCCGCCGCGCTGCTCCAATGCGTGTTGGCGAACTTCACATGTCTTCGAAATATTTTTTTATTATTATTACTCAGACACATGCAGGTTTTCTCACAATGTTTTCCTACACCGCCGAGCACGTGGTAAATCAGCACTTAAAATTGCTATTAACAATTTCATTGGTACCGGCGGGTACGAACCCAGGTTACTCGTGTTCTGTTATATTTACAGCGAGCGTTAACCATCTGAGATACCACGACTCTATATGCGTCGTGTACCAGTTAGTAAATAAAATAGTTAACTTAATCTAAGTAGCGTCCAAGGCTGGTACACTAGTTATGTAGACATAAGGCCTGGCAAATAACCTGGAAACTTCTGAGCTGCCCGATGTTGACCGGGCCCAGTGTGTTATATCTTCTGACCAAATATGTCTACTACTTCCTTTTATCCATAGGTCGGGTAAGGAAAACTGGGGTATTTCTGTTTAACCATTTCCGTAAAATAAATAGTTAAATATATTCTTTACTATTAGTGCAATAAGGTAGTATACTTTTCAGGGTGTTTGAATGGAATAACCCGAAAATTGCCTTAGTATTTGAAAGAGCAGATCCTACGTCTCCGTTGTCAGGCGCTCGTTCATAGTCTCGTCAGTACGGTTTGCATTTCTGTTACCGGTACGCACGTCTTAATTTTCGTATCTTATTTGTATAGTTTTTGGATTATTTTTGTTGTTATGTCATCCGCACCAAGTGCAAACTTAAAAGTCAAAGCGTTAAGCGTTACTGGTGGTCGTTATGGGTGTAGTTGAAAAAAGGTTGCTTACTTTAGAGTTAAGGAGTGCTGGCTAGTAAGAAAAAAATATTTATTTACGTATAATATTGTGCATAAAAGTTGTCTCTGTATCATAACGGAAGAAACGCCTCTGCACATCCCAAGTGATTGCGGACCCTTAAGAGGTGAGAGTAAGTCAGCTCAAATTCTAATTTCGCCCCCACTTCCCCGCGCGTCGTATGCTATGTCCCGACATGTTTGTAATCACTAAAACTCTAAGTAGATAGGTCGTTAGATACTTATTTCATTATGTTTATCATATATATGCCTGTTTCTTAACGCCAACCCAGTCGCTTCTTATTTTTATAACGGTTATTTCCCATTTTAATTTTACGTCTTCCTGTTGCGTAATGTGTTTTCTGATCGTAAGCGACACAACTTCTCCCTTCAAAAGCCGGAGCAATACTAACGGAGCGACAGGAACCAAGCTTACGCGCCGATAGTTTAGGTAATTTCTTTTTACAGTGAAAATAATGATATTTAAAAAAAAGTAAATAACATAAGCACTGCTTTATGGTTAGTTCAGTTAGTATGCAAAGTTTCATGATCTTATTTAAAGTATTTTATGAATAACAGCGATTTATTGTTCAGTTTGGAGGTAACTTTGGATTTTTTTTTCTATCGAGAAAATTTTACGGAATCGTGTTTTCGTCTAACATAAACCTTAACATTAATCCTCAACTTTACCATATATTTATTTCAAAATTAATGCTGCAATACTTTCGGCATAACGGAAGATCTTGCTAAGCCATTTGAGGTTATATTTCCCCTTAATGCGCAAACGTAACGCTCTTCTGGGAAACTATGTACTCCACTCAGAAGAAGTAAAATTGCTCACAGCTAAGCAATTCCTTCAATTCATTAGGGCTTAGCAGTGAACTATAGCCATAGCAGCAATCACAATAGATCTTTTAAGTTGCAGTGATACTGGTCTCTTTCTCTAAAAGTGCATAGCTGCTTGCATGTAATAAAAAGAAAAATCTTGTGCGTTAAGAAAGCTTACACAGTAGCGTTGCTTTCGAAACTAAGTGGAAAGGGTAATAATCATTGCAAACTTCTCGCATGCGTTTTTTAGTTTTTTTTTTAATTTACTTTAAAATTAAAAATAGAACTCGGGCTCTGGACTTGTATAATGTGCACTGAGTCCAGTTGAGTTTGAAGTGAGAAAATTTCTTATTAACTACTACTACTATTATTACGACTTTCGTTGACTATATTGAGAAAAGTTTTTGTAGAGCTGCGCTGCGGCATTATTATGGTTGTAGCATGATTAAATCCGCTCGACCGGGGAAGAACCGCGTTCTCACAGAATAACAGCGCAAAGTAGCAGCTTGTAGTTGCTGTGTTTCGTATGGTAAGTGTAGAGAATCGGAGACGCTTTTTAATGGCGACGAGGCATTCTATCTTAATCCTCAGGGGTGATAGGGAGGATAGATGTAGATGTACGAGTATATGGGCCACATCATCTACTTACTATCAGGTGGAAAAAATACCTGTGCAACCCATTTACTAGACACATTTTGGAGGTATAACCATCACATTTACGAAAAGAGTAAAATATCCGACACGTGTGGTACTGCAACCTTCGGTCCGGCAGCCAAGTGTGACGATTAGGAAAAAAATCCTCGATCACACGCGGTAGAAGACACCTTCAGAAAACTAAACTTCAAAACAATGAGACGAATGCGGAGAATAAAATAATATAAATAAATTTACAATAACATCGTATGCTGTATGCTAGCTCATTCTCTTTCAGGCTTAATCCTATAGATGGATATGCTTGTCTCTTTTTAGTGTCGCCTTTTCGTTTCATCTAGTTACAAATAAGAAAGATTCAAAAGAAGTTTTCACTCCAAAAATACAACAATTTCATTTTGCGGTATCAAGATTCTTGATACTGTTTATTTATTTATTGGTTACAATATTTTGATCCTTACAAAACTATTTACATCTAGCGTAGATAAAGAATGAGATTATAAATGGCGTCGCATCTAGACATCTCTCGCTTACACACTGTCGCTGTTTCACTCAGACCACAACCACAAAAAAAGTCGTCCGCGTTGCGAAAAGCGTTTTTTGTGTTTCTAATTCAGACCAATATACTTTTATTTTAAGTATATAATTCTTTCATTCACTAGTCTCAATGATTTGACTACTTTAAATAAATATTAGAGTATTATAGTATTTGTAAATTGATTTACATTCTTACATAAATATATAATATTCATTGAACTGAGGGTCAGTGGATGCTGTGGTCCATATACACCTACATCTATCCTCGATTTAGAGTCAAATGTAGATGCAGTGTTAATAGTCACTCTCGAGGAGTATGACAGATAGTTTCGTTATCAGTAAAAAGGGTCCCCAATTTTCTACACTCACCATACGAAACAGCAGCATTAAGCCGTTATTTTGAACTGGTATTCTGTGGTAGCGTGGCCGACAGATTCGTGCTACAACCATAACATTGCTGAAGCATGGTCCCAACAGGTATTAGTGCTGCTTCACTTTAGGCACCGTGTATGCTGACAGTACAGGTTCGACTACTGCCATTTCTAATCCCATTCTTTATTTACACCGATATTAGCATTACAAATTTCCCTAATTCTATAATCCCAGTCGGTGCGGCGTACGTCGTGGCGTGTTTAACCCCGGCGTCGCTATTTCCTGCTTCACTGGTACCTCTTCGTCTCTCTTTCTCTTCTCTTCGGCCATCTTCTGCTCTGCTTCCTTCATCTCTTCCTCCATTCGTTGTAGGTGTACTGCCGCTTCTTTTTTCTTGTCACGATTTGATCTAAGAATTAAGAAAAAAAAAGAAAGAAGGTGTGTTTAATGAAACGTGATTAATGCAATATGCACAAAGACAATTGAGAATAAGTGTGGTTGAAAAAAATTTTTTTTTTTTTTAAGTATAATATGAGTTTATTTAATAAAGAGAAGAAAATATACGTGGGTTTTATTTTCTGCTGCCAATCATAGGGCTACCACATGATAAACATTTCCCTGACATGTTCGAAATTTTAACCGTGTGTTAGGGACAAATACAAATTAAAATGTTTATTTAACAGTTGAATCACACAAAATAATTACAACTGAATTATATCTCAACAATTAAATTGTCCCACCAATTCGAGCCTGTGCGAGTTTTTACAGTTAGATATTTTTGCTGCCTTCGCGTTAATGTCAGGAAATTTATTGAAGTCAGGGATTTTGTCAGGAAAACTCATTTAGGGATCTGGTTACCCTAACCAAACAGCAATGTATGCATTGATGTGTTCTTGTATGATGGGCATACAGAACCAGTATAAACATGCTGAGAGGCATTCCATTTTAGACCTCGGAGGTGACAACGCATATGCATCCTTCTCTGTTTGAAGTTTATTGTATATGTATATATTCACGGTCTTCAGTAGCCACTTACCATTTCTTTCTCGTCGAATTCGTTCGAATTCGTTTGTCTCTTCTAAAAAAAGTTTAAACCCTTTCTAATTTGAATAAAGTGTACATTTTAATTTATAATATGAATTTTTTGTACTTTTTTAATTTCTAGAGGCTATGGGTGTAACAAAGCATTACAGACTTAGGGAATTCAGTATATGTATGTTAATATTATGGCTCCTTCACCTTCTCCAAAGATTGCCTACTAGTAGGGACTTTGGTAGTTGCCAGACTTGGCAGGCAACGCAGTGTGGGTAGACTGAATTGCACCCATTCACTTCGAGGACCTAATAGACGTCTTGATGGAGCTTGCCCCCGCAATGCTGCCTTCCGTATTGATAAGTGCCATCACATTTTAAAAGACTTCGCTGATTGTAATATAATTTTAGCTAAGCCATATTCTGACGATACAAACTTTACAAGGTGAAGTTCTCGGACCGATAACACTCAGTCTCAGTGTGATTGATCTGGAAATTTTAGTTGTAACTTAATGCATACCTTCAAGTTACTGTATTTAATTTAAGATTTGAGAACTTTATATTGTAATTAAATTTAAGTATACCTTATGTACCTGTTTCTGGTGTTGAACTAACGGAGCTAAATATGAACATTGTGATTAATATATGTGAATTAAGATTAAAAAAAACTCAACCACTTTATATTTTGTTATATAGTACACTCACTTGCCAGTTTCCTTGACCGAGAAGAACATGGGTCCGAGTTCTGCCAGCCACCTGGCGTCTACCGCAGTGACGCAGTGCATGTACTCGCGGCTGGTCATCGTGAGCTCGTGGTACACCACGTAGTCCGGCGGGCTGCCCAGCCCAAACAAAGCCGAAGTGGGGTGCAAGTGGCAAGGCATCCCTGTACGACAGTTCACGTACTCTCCGATACCCTTCAAGCGGGCCGCTTGTTGGAAGTACGCTGTAGGAAATATGTTTTGTCAATTTATGTTTTATATAGAAGAGCCACGCTGCATCTGTATTATAATTGTAGCACGAATGGGTCGGGTCGATCGAAGAAGCACCGCACTTCTTAAAATACCAGCGTAACGTAGTAGCTCAATGCTGCTGTTTCGTATGAGACCCTTTTTACTGAAAACAAGACATTCCATCTTAGTCCTCAGTGCTGGCAATGCATCTGCATTTTGATTCTTAATCGTGGATAGATGTAGATGTCCATGGGCCACAGCATGCACGTAACTTCGAATTACATTACATGACCTGCATGACCATGAACCTAGCGTGATAATTATAGCTTAGTTACCAGTATAAGTATTTCCGGTTCCCTACACTCACCATACAAATTATGGCAGCACTATCTTGCTATTTCAGACTGTTATGTGCGATTATAGTCCTGTCCCGGATGAGCCGATTCGTGACCGTATTATACAAGGTTAGTTGTCAAAGAGTAGCCAAATATTATATTTAAGTTCAAATATATAAATAATGACATGACCAGTACTGCAATTTTTGAAAATGCGAGTAAATATTCTTTTTTTATTTGAAATTATCCAAAATTGAATGTGATTTATTGGCAACAATTAAGCGTACGCGGGCTCTCGTGTGTGCAATTCAATTCACGTCTTCGTTTCTCAAGTAATTGCCTACTGTTTACGTGCTTAGTGACACCCTCATTACGTGGCGGAGATGCCGCTCGTTCCTGTGGACGCGTACCACCCGCCGCTCGAGATCTCCGTAAGTACAAATACGCGCCTGTGCCGTCATTCCGACTCAGCAGGTTCAGCTGCACCAGAAATTAATACATTCGCGGGTTGGAACTTTAATAGGGCCTAAATAATATTGCGGCCGTAGATTGGACTCCTTTATATGAGTTAGACTTAGAAATGAGCTTAGAATATTTTTATAAAATTATGAATTCTGCTATAGATGACTGTGTTCCGAAAAAAAAGCGAAGTCGTGTAAACTCCAGGTACGTTTACCCGGAGTGGTACACATTCGCGACATAAGATTGAAGGCTTTTCTGCATAAACGGTACAAGGCCAGTAGATCGAAAACTGATTACGAGGCGTTTGCTCAGTGTAGGACCAAAGTAAAGAAAATGATAGGACTCGCACAGGAACAGTATCAACAACGTGTTCAAAATCAAATGTTGAAAGATCCAAAATCTTTTTGGAATTTTATTAAACCTAAAAGACGTAAAAGAAGTCTACAATTGATTCTGAAAGACGGGGAAGCGTTGTCTGGTCAACAGTGTGTCGACGAGTTCGCGGAGTATTTTTATTCTGTTTATAGTTCAGAGCGGCCGGAGTTGGACGTGGGCTCTGCTATAGTAGGAGCAGGTAGCGGAAACGTAGCAGCGCGGGTGCACTTTGACCAATTACAGTTGGCAGTCGTATGTCGTGCGCTTCAAGAACTCAAGCGCAAACGGTCTGCAGGACCTGACGGCATTCCGCCTAATATCTTTAAGGATTGTCGGTCGGTACTAGCTAAGCCACTACTGCATATAATCATATATATATATATATATATATATATATATATAACAAATCCCTTACGGCTGCGGTGTTTCCAGAGAGGTGGAAAGTAACCTGCGTTGTTCCGGTTCCAAAGGGGGGTTCAGCAGAGTCAGTGGATGGGTACAGGCCTATTGCAGTGTTGTCTACGCCGGCAAAAGTATTCGAAGCCGCTATTTATAAGATAATATTCCATCAGGTGGGCGCACAACTCTCAGACGCACAACACGGGTTTCGGCCAGGAAGGAGTACAACCAGTAACCTTCTCTGTCGGATGGCACATCTGGCACCGAGTGGAGACAAAGGGGTGCAAACGGATGTGGCATTTTTTTGACTTCAAAAAAGCATTTGATTTGGTATATCATAACGTATTACTTAAAAAGCTAGCAGGTGTGGGTTTTACTCCACATTTACTGCACTTTTTTGCTAGTCATATGTCCGATAGGCAGCAATATGTAGACGGGACATAAGTCAGAGACATATTTCACATGGTCCGGGGTAAGTCAGGGCAGTAACCTTGGCCCTTTGGAGTTCTTGCTGACGATAAACGACTTACCAGAAGTGCTGAAGGACGCTAAGTGTTTATTGTTTGCTGACGACCTCAAATTGTCTCCTGCGGTAAAAAATAGGGATGACTGTGCCAGACTACAAAGGGACATAGTCAGGGTTGTGAGTTGGAGCAAAGACAATCGCTTGCAATTTAACAGCTCTAAGTGTGTGTTATTTACTTTCGCGCACACACTCCTATTTTACATACTTATCACATTGACGGGCTGCTGATGACGAGGGTCAGAGAAGTTAAGGATTTAAGAGTAACTTTTAATACAAAGCTTACTTTCTATGATCACATCATGAGCATCTGTAAAAAAGCTTATAGAAATCTAGGATTTATGCTTCGTACAGTGAGAGGATTCACAAACATAAAAGCGATTATCGCCTTATATAATGCATTGGTAAGGAGTCAATTTGAAGGTAATGCAGTCATCTGGGCTCCGCATGAAACTAAGTATAGTAACTAATGCTAGAGCGAGTACAAAATAAATTAATTAGATATTTATATATGCGTTATTATGGTGTCTACCCAATTTACCCTTTAATGTATCCAACTTTATTTATATTAGATATGGTAGGATATAATGAACTGAGGGTTAGGAGGGAACTCGCGCTCACCTCGTATATTTTTAAAATACTGCGAGGAAGATTGTTTAATGGTGAAATATTAGGGCAGCTTAATCTACGTGTTCCTGAGAGGTATGTGTGGCGCCGACGGTAGCCGCGACTGTTGGTGGAGCCGCGAGGTCGCACCAACATCCTGAGTGTTTTTTTGAGAGTTTTGTTGTACTCTGAGTGAATTCACAAAGACAGCATTATTTGTAATTTGTTACAAAAATTAAATCTAACACTTAAATCTACACAAATCAGTTAGACAGCTACACTAAATACACGACGAGAATTATGATTCCAATTTTTCTTTCACACTTTTAACGCGCTTAGGATCGCCCTAACAAATAAAATTAAAAAGATAATAATTTCTTATATTTACGCGAACACTATACATTATATATATATATATATATATATATATATATATATATATATATATAAAAGACACTATACATTTATATATATATAAAGATAATATTTTTTGCTTATTAACGACGTAAGCGACGACTGTCATTATTCCGTCGAATTTAAAACATTGAAATAAACTATTTACCAAAAATGTACGCAAATAGTCCCAATAACTAATATTGGTAGCTCAAAATGGAATCTTCTCTCTATGCGAGACGGCTCATAGATCATTTTCTACACTTATTACCCATTCTTGAGTACTTTTAACTTCCGTGAGTACAGCAATAATTTTACTGTGGCGGTGTCCATAAATTTGGGCCTCTTTAACATAAGCACGACTTTTTATTTCACCTCACAGATAAAAGTCTAACAGTGAAAGTTCCAGCAAGTTTGTAGGCCACTGTATAGGATAGGGCCTCCGTGCGCAATCCACCTATCTTCGTATTTACTATTTATACATACACAGATGTATGCGTGCGTAGTAAAATACTAGGCGTTAGATATTTATGAATGACAATCAGTTAAAATTATTATGCATTACCACGCATTCTGAATTTAAAAGATAAAAACAGAACGTTTGGGATCGTTTTTAAACAATTTTACTTTACTAGGCTAATGATGATGAAAGTTATAATTAAAAATTATAAATATTACTTATTCTGAACCTTCTCTGCAAAGTTGGCTGTATATTGTAAAATAACCCATTATGCACAAATGATATGATGACAGTGTACCCACATATGTATTGTAGTTTTAATGTATAGCGTGATTCTACTGCAAACGAAACCTTATACAATAGGTAGTAGAAGAAGAATAAGATAAAAATGAAAATAGTGAAAAAAATAATAAGTGCAGAAGTAGAAATACACACATACACGCATACAAACAGGCACGCACGCACGTACAACGCACGCACGCACGCACGCACGCACGCACGACACGCCCCACACACACACACACACACACACACACACACACACACACACACACACACACACACACACACACACACACACACACACACACACACACACACACACACACACACTGACCGGAGCAGATGCACTCGCGCACGGTGTCCCAGCGCGTGCCGCAGGAGACGAGCGGCAGGCGCTGCTGCTGCAGGATGTCGCGCAGCTGCTGCCGCACCTCGCGCACCTTGCGCATCGCCTTCGCGTGCACGAAGTGCGCGTTGCACCATGCGCTCGAGTAGCTGCACACACAACGTAAGCAGAAATAGAAACCATTTTATTTAATATTTACTGTAAAAAGGGGATAAGTCGTTCGCGTCTTTAGGCTTCGACCACCAAACCTTGTCGAACAAGAAATTCGTAAGTACAGACACGACTCTTCAACATTTAGTAGCAGTTAAAATATACCACCCCTATTTCGCACCATGAAGGAGAAAATAAAATAAATGGCTCCGAGTTTCCCACGCCGTATTAATGGGGCGGGCGTGCGAAGAATCTCCGGGAGTAAACCGGCGACGAGGTTCCGGACAAGTTCTGTTTCCCAGAGGGGCGAAAATTGCTTGCAAACAGCTTGACTTGAAGTGACTTTGCTTGTTTCTAAAAACAAAGCCTAGAGTGCCGCAAACCTCCTTTCATTCAATATGTTTGTTTTGTTAATCTTTCCTTGGTGTACAATAAAGATATATAGTAAAGAGTATTGTATTGTATTGCGTATTTCCTAAAGACACACCTTCATTATTCATGAATATATTATATACAAATAAGAAATAAAATTGGATAACTGTTTCTCTATAAAATATAAATAATATAAAATTGTTTTAAAGTCTTTAAGAATCTTAAAGCCTTATCTAAAACATTTTAAACAAAGTGTTGATTATAGATGTCCTTTATAATTTGAAAAATATGATAAGCGTAAAAGTGACACAATGAATTAATATAACTAACTTGTTAGCTTTCCACTGATTGTACAAGTGCAGTAGAGTGAGATGGTCGGATTCTGGGACTTGGAACTTTTCTCTCACAGAGTCCGCTTCCTCCTCGCGACCTTGAGGCCGGTAGAAGACCGATGGCACAGACAGCATTGACACTAGAACAAACAAATCGTTCATAATTAGCTAAGAGTTCTTGTTGCAGAAATCTAATCTGTACTAATCTAATCCAGATTTTTTACATAATAGAGCCATGCTGCAGCGATATTGTGGTTGCAGCACGAATGGGTCGGCTCGATCAGGGTGGGACTACGCTCTCATAGAATACCAGCGTAAAATAGCAGCTTAATGCTGCTGTGTTTTGTATGGTGAGTGTAGAGAATTGGAAACCCCTTTTACTGGAAACGAGACATTCCATCTTAGTCCTCAGGACTGGCATTTGAATTATAATTTTTAATTGAAGATAAATGTATATAGGCCACAGCTTCCACTTACCATCAGGTGAATCGTCACCCTTATTCTATTAAAAAAAGTGTACACTGGATTAGTACAGTTTTGTTCGTACAGGCGGGTTAGCACGAGCGTGTGCGTTTATGCGATGCGTCTTGCTATATTATTTATTTATTAATACCTATTATAACGATGACAAGCGAGCTCAACTTAAACAATCGGCTTAAACAATGGCTTCTACTTCCCATGGATACCTGCAGTCAAACAAAGTTACATGCGTTGCTATCTCTGAAGACTAAAGTGAGATTCATCACAAATTACAATAACAGCTCTGCATATCCTTCGAATCGAAACTCAACAGTGGGTGCTGGGTGCATTGTTGAGTGGCAGAAATATGACAGCGTAAAAGATATTCCACTTCCCCTTAACATCCCGATTCCTAAGTGAGTGTCTGATGTCCTAAAACGACGCAGAGCAGCATCTTTCTGTTAAGATTCAAAATAATAATAATAAATTAAAAGAAAACACTACACAAAAGTCTGAAAAACTGACCGACGACAAAACAAAAATCACCGAGTGGGCTGGTAAGTCTTTACACGGAAGACATCGACATGATATAAGCCAACATAATGTCGACAAAGAAGCATCGAACGCATGGCTGCTTCATGGAAATATAATGTATGAAAAGTATGTTTATCTTACTAATAACTATATTCTATTTATTCGCATTTTATTGTACTTTATATCTTTATTGCATATTTATTAATTTTATAACGTAAATTGTTTATACCTGCCACAATTTTCAAATTATCCAGGGTTGACTGAGAGAGAATGCCATAAAGGAGTAAGTGCGCCCTTTATATCCTTTATTATAAGGTGTATAATATAGTTAAATCAATAAATAAATAAATATTCAGTTGATTAGCTTATACGAATTGTAAAGTGAAAATAGCTTACCAATAATGAGCACCTCAGCACTGCAACCCATTTCAGCAGAAACGATTAGCATGTGACACTGCGGAGGATCGAGGGGAAATTCGGCCATCTGGCGGCCCAAAGGCGTCAGTGCGCCCGTACCGTCCAGAGCTCCCAGGATCCATAGCTGGTACATAGAGTTGAGGATCGTGTCCTAAAATATATGTGTATAAATTAGAATTGCAAACTTAAAACGAAAATTTAATAAGAAATCCATCGACAGTTTGCAAATTTTGACTTTACGTTAAACTTTGTTTCGAATACATAAAATACATAATACATAAACACACGCCTGTCACCTAGACGGTTGCCAGAGACAACAGACTTCCATTTGGCACGATCCTGACACACCTCTTTCGCCTCCTCCACATCCATATATCTACATGCATACATGCTCGTCGGTTAAGGGTACTCCTAATTTGGCCCGTTTTCAATATATCGCCAATTTGGTCGATAAACTTTCGCCTAGGACGTCCCTTTCCGACTCTGCCATTCACTTCTGCAACGTAAATTTGCTTTGTCACTCTTTTCCTATTCATTCTTTCCACATGACTCAACCAACGAAGCATTCCTTTCTTAATCCTGGTCGCGACATCATCTTGCAAACGATACTATTTTCTTATTACACGATTTGTCACCCTGTCTAGATTCAGCTCTAACATACTCCTTAACGACCGCATTTCTACTGCGTTTATTATACTCCCGTGCTTCTTCTGCCACAACCAACTTTAACTACCATACGTTAAAGTAGGGACCAACACAGCATTGTGAATTGCCATATGCGCCTTTTTTGACAGATTCTGACTTTTCACAACAGAGTGTAGGGCCCCATTTACTTTATTTCCTGCTCGAATAATAATTGTTTTTAACAGTTTTCTTCTGTGTTAGTTCAATTTAGGTAATTATGTGAGTATAAATGAATAGCTGGAAGGAATCTTTGTACTCTTATAACTAGGCTAAGTCACACACTTCTCCGTGCGCACAACAATAAAACATTCAATGTTTAAGTTCATTCTTATAATGTTCAACACGTAACAGTCTGTAGTTAGCAATCGTTAATAGTTAACAATCGGTAGTTAGTGCTGAGCGACTTGAGCAGCAGCACGGTGTTGGCCAGGTTGGTGCGCTGGATCTCGGGCACGGTGGCGGCTAGCAGCTCGTGTGTGACCTGGCGCTGTGTGTACAGGCAGAAGGCCTTGCCGGGTCCCGTGCAGCGGCGTGTTAGTTAGTGTTGTCTAGATGTACCTGCGGCGGCGGATCCATGAAGTGGAAGGCGAGCAAGTCCTGCACGCCCAGCGACTTGAGCAGCAGCACGGTGTTGGCCAGGTTGGTTCGCTGGATCTCGGGCACGGTGGCGGCCAGCAGCTCGTGCGTGACCTGGCGCTGCGTGTACAGGCAGAAGGCCTTGCCGGGGCCCGTGCAGTCGCGCGTTAGTTAGTGTTGTCTAGATGTACCTGCGGTGGCGGGTCCATGAAGTGGAAGGCGAGCAAGTCCTGCACGCCCAGCGACTTGAGCAGCAGCACGGTGTTGGCCAGGTTGGTTCGCTGGATCTCGGGTACGGTGGCGGCTAGCAACTCGTGCGTGAACTGGCGCTCCGTGTACAGGCAGAAGGCCTTGCCTGGGCCCGTGCGGCCCGCGCGCCCTGCGCGCTGCCGCGCGTTGGCCTGGCTTACCGGGTAGATCTGGACATCAACTACTGCTGTACATGGCCCGACCTCATGTACATCAAACGCGTTTAAGAACACTAGACGAAAGGCAGTCTAGTGTTACTTTACAAGTGATAGAGCCAGTGGGTCAGCTCGTTCGGGGAAGAACCACTTCTCTTTATTAGCCCATAAATTTATCGATATATAAAATGTAAAAATAATAATGGAGTAAATGTATCGATGTATGTAAGCGAAAACTTCAGAAGCTATTAAATTATAGCAACATAAACGTATTTTCAAATAAAAACATACACACATGTAAGGTTATGCGTGTAATCCCCCCCGAGGGAATAGAGAATACTACTCAGAACATGTTTAGCCAAAAAAGTTGGTGTAGATAAAAAACATATAAATGGAGGATTGCGAAAAAAACGATAGACGGCTAGCACATCGCCTACACAATCGCAAACCCAATTTGCATAGCATGTCGTAAAATGCGTCTAATAGAACAGTAGCCTCATATCCACATTGTGGCATAATTTCCACGCTTGGTAACTGCAAATTTTCATTTTTTTGAGTTGTTACAGTCAAATTCTGTTTGCTGGAGTTCTTGCTCAACTTGGAGAGCAACTCTTGTGTCAATCCTCTCTCTCGCTAGTTTCCACACACACGGGAAGACAATTTTCGAGTTTAATTAAGAGTTCGTACACCGAATCTCGTCGTTTAGCCGAACCATACAGCCACAAGATTTGAAATGTGTTCCATAGATGTCGTAAATGCAGCGCCCACAGACACACTTCAAGTCAAATTAAAATTTATTGAATTTTTAGAAATTTGACATTCATATATAAACATTTACATAGTTATACAATAATACATTTTAACATGTAGTATTTATAGTATATAAAAACTTGACGCTAAAATATTTTTAATTAGTTACATAATTAACTTTCTTTAATCATTTACTTCATTAAATTGTAATAATAATAATATTATTTTTGTTTATTGTAAAGATAATGCACGCAATTATCATGGTAGAATGTAAGGTCTCATTTATAACTAACAACATCATTATATTAAATACTAAATTCTGGAAATAAATAAATATGAATAAAAAAAATCAAAAACGAATTGAATTTAATGCTCAAATATACAGCACTGTACAAGGCCTACGTGATATGAACGTAGCGGGACTAACCTGAAGGGCATCCATACCGATCCTCGGGTTGTACACCTTCAGTTTGCAGTAGCCGGAGTCTATGACGTACATTATGCCGTCCACAGTTAAGGATGTTTCTGAAAAATATTTTTTTATTTTATTACAATTACGTATTCCTCACACGTAAGTTCAAGCTCACTCAACGAGCTTTGGAGAGTGCTATGCTCGGGGATTTTGAGTGATAGACTTAGAAATGAGCAAATTCGGAGTAGAACCAGGGTAACAGACATAGCCCAACGGATTATAGGTTGAAGTGGCAATGGAAATGAAATGAAATGAATGATTTTATTCAATATAGATTAATGCATAATACTTATTGAAAGTCATTTTTTCATATTTACCACTGGTTCGGAAAAAAACCTCTTACCTGGGAAGAACCAGTAAGAAACCCAGCGGGACTTCTTTTTAAAAAAATATTTCACTTTACAATAATATATTTTTGGTAAAATTTTTTAATCAATTTTTATACAACCAGCATGGTGGCGATCACCTCATTACCAGGGGTGATTTTCATTTATGTATTCTTTGATATTATAATAAACCTTTTTGTACAATTTTTCTTTAATAAGACGTTTAAACTTGTTTAATGACAAATTTTGTACATATTCTGGGATTTTGTTTTAAAAGCGTATACATTGTACTGTAAATTAATTACTAATTCTGTAGAGTCTAGTAACTGATATTAAAAGCTTATGTTTGTTCCTAGTGTTTAAAGTATGAACATCTTTATTCTCATGAAAGCTATTTGTTTTTGTGCACATACATTACACTTTCATAAATATATTGCGATGCGAAAGTTAATATGTTTATTTCTTTAATTTTTTCTCTAAGGGACTCTTTACAATTTAAGCTATAATTTGACCGTACGGCTCTCTTTTGCAAAACAAATATGACTTAAATGTCAGTCGCATTACCCCATAGCAAGATTCCATAAGACCTATAAAAGTAACTAAAATGAACTAATCTAGCTGTCTCAACATTCAATAATAATACCAATAAAAACATTGGTATTCAGAAGACTCAACTCTAAGGTTTACCAACACATTGGTATTTGAATGTTTAATACTAGGTGTTGCAAGTTTTATACATTTTGTCTTATTGCCGTTTTAGAGCAAATTGTTGGCGTTAAACCACTTTACTGTGTAATCTTCAAATGTAATTTCAATAGAGCATTATTTACATAGTCAAAATTAATTGACTGTCGTTTGAGTTAGATAATTAAAGAGGTATTATCAGCAAATATATAATAATAATACTACATTGTGATTGTCCCCTAAAAGATAAGGTATGTCATTAATATAGACAAAGAACAGGAATGGGTCAAGAATCGAACCCTGAGGAACGCCCATTGACAACACTGATCCGGAGGAATCTTTATCATTGATAACAACTTTTTAAATTCTGTTATTAAATATAAAATAATAAGACTAAGCGCAATATTTTTGACACCGTAATGTTGTAGTTTACTGATTAATATCTCATGATGAACACAATTGAAAGTCTTGGAAATTACATTCTGCAATACGTGTAGCTTCAAAGAATAAATTATGATTGATGAATGAAATTAATACTGATGGAAGAAGCTTCCAGGAGATTTTATTTTTTATTTATTTATTTTATCTTTAAGGGAAACATACATAAATTTTAGTCTATTACATAACACATATTAATCTTACATTTAAAAATAAATTTTCCACAGTTAAGTAACGCATCGACATAAAGCGAACATCATGACATACTAAGGTGTGCAAAAACTAAAGTGAAGTAAGTCAAAGTAATGTGTGATATTAAAGTGAAATGATAATTTAGCTATTAATTTAACTATTATCCATTAAAGCTTCAATTTTCTTTGTAAACTATCCATATGACAGAGAAAATATATCAACATGTGAAAAGTTGTTATTATAAGAATTACATTTAACACGAGTTATAAAATTGTTCTTGCCATGGTAGAAGTACAAAATAAAAGTTTCTTTCTAGTACTTATCTTTTGGCATCTGAAATTTATTTCACTTAGAAGTGGTATGGAGTCGACGCTATTATGAACGATTTTATATAAAAACATCTGATCCCTGACAGTACGGCGAGATTTTAGGTGAAAGGCTAGTCTACACCAAATAGAGGCATCGCCGGCTAATCTAAATAGATATGCTTCAGAAAATTATTGTGAATCTTTTCAATTGTGTCTATATAAATATTATATTGAGGATTCCAAACTAATGAGCAACTTTTTAATATTGAGCGGACCAACGAGTTATGCAAAATAATTAGGGTTGAGGGTTTTTTAAAGTCTTTAGTAATTCGTAAGACAAATCCAAGCATCTTATATGACTTGTTAACTATTTTATCAATATGAGATTTAAGATTGATATTAAAGTCTCCGCAAACTACAAGAGATTTATTCTGTATATTAAGCTTAGCTAAAACTTCCATAATTTTTTCATGGGAGTCTGTAAACGTATTACGTGTTCAAGCTCAACACATGCGATTTTTACAGTTCGCTCAACAAAAAGGCTCACAATATCTTTAAGTTCTTTACATGATATAAATTTATTAACTAATATTAAGGAATCACCATGTAATTTAGTATCTCTATTGAAAGAACTAACCACCAGGTGATTACTGAAATTAAATATGGAGTTGTATTCTTTCAACCAATGTTCAGTAATACATAAAATATGTATATGGGTACTATTTGAAAATAATTCAATTTCTCTGTCTCAAGTTCTTTGCCTAACATTACCTTGTATATTTTGATGCACCAGGTTAATACAGTTTTTATTATTGCTATTTTGTGAAATTACACAGTTAAGTATTGGTTAATTATATTCTAAGGTATTTAAATTATCTTTGCTAGAGATTACCTCTATTGCCTTATTATCTAACTTAAATTACTTGGAAATGATTCAAAATCATTTGTAAAACTATTTTGCTGCTCAATATAAGCTGGTGTCCAGATAGCCATAAATTTGATTGGGTTAAAATATAAATAATAGGATAGCGTATTTGCTACCAGTCCTAAACTATGATAGGTAATACTTATCTCTTGTCAAAAAATTCTTAGTTAAATTATTTATATCAATCAAATGCATTTTTTATCATTATAATTCCTACAATTAAATGTAAAATTTAAATTATTATTACATGTCAAAGTATTCATTATTAAATTTAAATTACATCATAGTTTCTTTTTCTGTGGTCACCTCTTTATGTAAGGAAATGTAAACAAGATTACTTTATGCACATTTAAATTATTAAGATATTGTATTTTAATAATTTTTTGATTCCTGTTCATATTGCTCTTCTCCCAACAAAAATTATTAATATACTATTAGGGTTAAATATACTTATTACTATTATTATTATTATTATAATTTTATTCATAATATCACTGAATGATGCTCCAGGCATGCAGTAATTACTTATCTGTTGCCATTTTTAACGATTTTTTTTTAAATAATTTTAATGAAGTTTTAAGTGATAAGATTTCTGAATTAAGACACTCTATTTCAATCTCATAATAATTTTTCATGTTTTCCACCTCAATTGAATATAATTTAAGTTTACTAATTATCTCTTTGCTTTTCCTTACATATAATTGTAATTGCACTTTCCTAATATATTAATTGATTTTTTAATATTTTCTTGATTTCCTTCTGCTGCTTGTAATACTTTCTGCTACTCTTTGATAGGACAGAATCATCAGTCAAATCTATTGATGTGTTGATTACAAAGTTTTATGAGATTTATATTCTACGAGTTTATTGAACAGATTCTCAGTTTAAAATTCTTGCAAGTTATCAATGTGTTATTTAAATTGTGAAATCTGCTCATTAGCTTCAGTTAACTGTAATTGTAATGCAGCAATTAATCTGAGGGCTTCCTCATATTCTTCGCTGCATCGGTCAAACTCATTTATTGTTCCCAGGAACTGATTTCCTTTAAAATATCTGTATAGTCTCTATGTAACTTTACCATATCACTTTTCGGCTATGTATTTTTTGAAATTGTACTAAACTTATTATTTCCTTTTCTTTGTCATCCCTTTTTTTAAGTAATAGTTCACTCTGTTCCCTGGACGCCTTGAGTTCCTATAACTTAAAATTGAGGTGGAAATTATCGATTACGATGTTGATTTTTACGAAATTATTTGGGATGAGATTATTTAACTACTAGTCACCGGGATTGCCACAGAGTATATCCAAAGGGCCGGCCATATAGCTCGCAGAACCGAAAGCCGTTGGGGAAGGAAAGTTTTGCGAGTGGCAACCTCGAACTGATAAGCGAAGTGTATGGCAGCCTCACAACCTGGTAAGACATGCAGGAAGTCGATGGATGCAGGTGGCTCAGGACCGTGCTTTGTGGCATTCCTTGAGGGGGTGGTTATGTTCAGCAGTGAACTTGTGAAAAGAATGATGATATAACAATATTTATTTGTTGAGCAAATTAAAACACTGAGGCTTTTATTTATATCAGCTTTAACCTATAAGGTATAAAACTTAGCATTAGCACTATATCCCGCTTCTGGGCACAGGCCTCTTCTTATAAATGAGAGGGTTTTTCTTTTACTAGTTTTTTTTTAAAATAGAATAATGCTCACACAGTCCACCTGACAATAAGTGGATGCTGTGGCTGTGGTGTAGATGTCTATATCTACATTTGTCCTCGATTAAGAATTAAAACGCAGATGCGTTGTCATCCGTGAGGACTTAGGTGGAATGCCTCGTTTCCAGTAAAAAGGGTCTCCGGTTCTCTACACTCACCATACACACAAGAAACACAGCAGCATTAAGCTCACCCCTGAGGACTAAGATGGAATGCCTCGTTTGCAGTAAAAAAGAGTGTTTGGATCTGTACACTCACTATACGAAACACAGCAGTATTAAGCTGCTATTCTGTGAGAGCATGGTCCTTCACCGGTCGAGCCAACCCATTCGTGCTACAACCATAATATAGCTACAACGTGGCTCTACCACGTTTAGAGCTAGTTCTCATCGAAAATCCGCTTGCTAAGCAAGTCTAGCAAAGAACTTTTACGAGTTGCTAATGATGACTTTATGATGATATTTCTTTGTAAAATACTCAGACTTATATTCACTCTTGCCTCGGAGACATCCACATTGTTACCAGATGGAAAGACAGATGTTAGCAACATATTCCACTCCTTTGCTGTACGCACAAAAAATCATATGTGATATTAGTATAGTAGATGTCTTCGAGGCAAGAGTGAATGTAGGTATTTTTTTTTTATAGGATAGGGTGACAAACGAGCACACAGTCCATCTGATGGTAAGTGGTTGCTGCGGCCCATAGACATCTACATCTATCTTCTATTACAAATCGAAATGCAGATGCGTTGTCACCCGTGAGGACTGAGATGGAATGCCTCATTTCCAGTAAAAAGGGTCTCCGGTTCTCTACACTCACCATACGAAATACAGCAGCATTAAGCTACTATTTCACGCTGGTATTCTGTGAGAGCGTGGTCCTTCCCCGGTCGAGCCGACCCATTCGTGCTACAACTATACTACTAATATAATTGCAGCATGGCTCTACCACGTAAATTCGTAAAATATTCTGTGAGCGTAAGAGCCTTCCTTCACCGACCGAGCCGACCCATTCGCGCTGCAACCATAATACATAACTGCAGTGTGGCTTTAACACGTCGATAATGTTATTGTGTTTTTGTTAGGTTAGAAAGTTCATAAACATATTCATAGTTTTTTTTAAACTTTGTAATGGTATACCTGCGATATTCGTGGCAACAATGCACTTCCTTTGTCCTGGTGGTGCTCGCTGAAATATCTTGGCTTGAAGATCTGCTGGTAATTGCGAGTAAATTGGCAACACTGTTAGTGGTGGGGCGCTGTCGAGATCGGCTAGCCTTTCAGTTAACACCTGCAATTTTTATAGACAATTTATTGTTTGGTTTCAAAACATGGGAAACAAGCTAACGTTGTAGATATCATACTCATCATAAACTGCTTCTCTATATCTTTCTGGAGATTCCTTATAGCAACGGCCAGCAGTGAAGGACAACAAATAAGTTGGTATTATATTTGTTCATATTGTTTTTCTTTCGGGCTGTGTCAGTGATGACATATAGATCCGAGACGTGATTATGATATGTTTGGAGTTTCTCTGTGTGATCAAACTTGGAATGCAGATACAATAGATACCAGAGTAATCGACACATCCAAACAGATCAGTAAGCTGAAGTGGCTGGCATTGTACCGGCCATATAGCTCGAAGATCTGATAACCGATGGAGAAGAAAGGTTCTCGAATGGCAGCTTAGTACCGGGAGGCGAAGTGTAGGGCGACCCCCCATCAGATGAAGTACCTTCTTGGTAAGAGATGCAGATAATCAACTTCAAGGGAAGAAAGTAATAGATGCGTTGTCATCCATGAGGACTTATACATAGTGACTAAAAGCCTGTGATTTTTTTTACAAAATTGAAGTATTAAACGAATTCATCATCAGTCCAACTTGTGATCAGTGCCTTTTGCAGTCCAAGGAAAACTGCAACCCAGTTCAAACAAAGAAGGTTACAGTTGCGTTGTCACCTCTGAGGACTAAGATGGAACGCCTCACATCCTATATCACTTCTGGCTCTCTATACTCTTCAGGCCGAAACACAGCAGTGAACGTACTGCTGCTTGACAGATATATAACGCTTGCTCAACCAGTCGTCAACTAGTCGGGTAGTGACGGTGTAAGAATATCCACTACTCCATATCGTCCTGTGGGTGTCGTAATAGGCGACAGAGAAAAACTGAAACAGGAGATGGGCAGCAGCATCTATGGCGAAATCCCCCCTATGAGGCAATCTATGGGGGGACCCATGTCCAGCAGTGTAATGGAAACCAGTCAGACTCCTAAATAGAAAAGTATTCATAGCAATAGTACAAGTAGTAATTGAAAAGATTTTTAAAGTAAATATACATTTTTATTTACCTCACAAGTTACTTCAATATCCTCTTGACCAGGCATGAATATGAGTATGTCGCCTTCATCAGGCTGCAGATGGATCTGAAGAGCCTGTAAAAATGGACATTATTAATGTAATAAATAATGATTAAAATTGTACACATATCCAAAATGGGATTAACGCGAAAAGATTTTAAGGCGATGATTTTTTATGATTTTAAAAAATCACTCTCGCCCCAAGATGCACTGCTCCTTTTCTAAATGCTTTCTAGTTTGATCGTCGCCGTATTTTCTCTTTAATGAAATACGTGAAGGTCGACCCTTATCTACGATCACTGAGGAAAATGTAGGTACTGTCAGACGAATATTCGAAGAAAACCGACGCATCAGATTCAAGGACATTTGGATATTATTATAGTATGAGCCAAATTTAAAAAATTTACATCAACATTTAAAATTTAGAAAACTTTGTTGCCGCTGGATTTCTCATGAACTCAATTCATGAACAAAAACAGGCTGGAGTTGATCAGTGTAAAAAATGTTAAAAAAATGTGTTATTAATGTATAATCACAGACGTTCAAATGCTATGTATAACATATACATAGCATTTGAACGTCTGTCTCGGGTCGTACGTTCGAATCCCGCACGGAACAAGTATTTGTATGGCCTACAAATAGTTGTTTTGGGTCTGGATGTTTGTTCTTGTGCAATTTATGTATGTAAACTGCCCCTACGATACAAGAGAAAATCTTAGTGTAGGGGTAACGTTTTAATAAAAAAAAACATTATAATAAGGAATGAAATATAAGAAAACAACATTCTTTTGTATGAGTGTTCGAAGGCGACAGCAAACAAACAATATAAGAAATGGGTTCTGTCTGCACGATCCCACTTGATGAGCAAAGAAAACAATTAATGCTGAGTGGTACACCACCATTTGTTTGCCCAGTTTCTTTGAAAAAGTTAGGGAAAATGCTCAAGAAGTCGCATCCTATTGCACCTTGACAATGCTTCAGCGCACACCGCGTATAAGTTAAGTCATTTTTGGCTGCAGAAAAGATGGGCTCGTGACCTGTCGCACATAGTTAAAACCGAGCCAAATACGATTTTTTTTGATATATCATAGATTTCACGAGAGGTTTGTCATTCACGGAACCAAAAGAGGATATGATAGCTTGCAACCAGTAAGTTATTAAAAATATACCTCAAGACTAAAGTATGTAGGACTGTTTTCAAAATAGTTTGAACAAATGAAAAAAGAGTTTAAAATGTAATGGAAAATACTTTAAAAGCAGTTAATATATTAATTTACATACTAATTGTTTTATTCATAAGCAAAGCAAAACTTTCAGGTACCCCACATATATAATGAAGGTGTAAGAATTGTAAGATCACATTACGTAATTCAATAAAATCAAATTAATTATCACATGCAAAATAAATAACAAAATATAAAAAAACTTCTTATTAAAATAATTATAGCATAAGGATTTGATAGTAAGAAAAATAACCATAAATAATTGTAAGTGGAATGAACAGTGTGTCGCGTCTGATGCGCACTAATATTATTCTATGATGATATAAGAGAGAATAACAACGCACATGTGTTTTTTTAAATTCCGACGAGATATAGATTTGCTACATATAAAATGTTAATATAATCCTAGATTATATTTTATAATGCTGTTCTTTATAATTTGTAATTACCTCATTTAATCCAATAAGCAGTTTAACTTATGTGTAAAGATTAAAAGCGTTATAAATGTAATCTTGAATAATGAGTTAATTAAATTGAGACTGAAAACAAATGAATAGCTTTGTATTTTCTATTATGTTACTTTGTATACAATTCTGATACAGTGAAACCTGGAAAAGTGGGACCTGAATAAGTGAAAAACCTCTATTATTGAGAACTACAATGAGATAGATCCCTGCAATTTTTCATCGAATTAGCTCTGTTAATGAGACTTTTCAAATCTGAGATTTGATTTCTAGGATTTTTTCGATGTTTACCTCTATAATTGGGACTTTGGCGCTCAATTCCCTTTACGAGTGGGACAATTTATCAGGTTGGGATGGTTTGGGTTTACAAACATTTGAGTTTCTTAATTTTTGGGCCTCTGTAAATGAGACAACTAAATTTTAAACCCGTCTAATTTGAAAACTGGATAAATGAAAACCTCTTTAAATGGTACAAAATCCTTGGTCCCTTGAGATTCCAATTAACCAGGTTTCACTGTATCACGTTTAAGAGAAATAGAAAAATAAATTTTTTGAATAAAATGTAATTCATACAGAAGCTTCTAAATTCGATAAATAAAATGCCGGAGTTTTGGTTTTAAAACTCAAAAATGAAGTAGCTTCAGGGGTTTAACAACAAGAATGTCGTCTAATAAATTTTCATCCCCGTTAAACATTTAAACTTTCATCACAATTGGTTTACCCACCCCGAAGATTAGCTCGGAGTCAGACAGATTTTTTAAAAAAAAATCGTTATTTATGTCTTAGCAAACAAATAAGAAGATCCTTGAGCTTAGAATAGAATAGAAATAGAAATAAAAGCTTAAACAATTTAAATATCACATATAAACATTTCGATTTGATTTATAGGTGCCTTAATTTTTATTGAGGCGATTAGAGAGCCTTTGTATCTCAGTAGATAAGCTCTCGTCACTAATTTCATAGTATGCGAGCAGCCAGAGTTCGATCTCCAGTACCAGTGAAATTGTTACGTGCAGTTAAAAGCGCCAAATTATCAAGTGCTCGGCGGTGAAGGAAATCGTCGTGACCTGCATGTCTGAGAAATAAAATATATCGAGGACTCGCACTGGAGAAATGAGTGAACTTACAAGATTAGGAATCTTGTAAGTTCTATTAATTTATAAAAAAAACCCTGCACCCTTTTCGACATAATATAAGCTTTTAACATCTTATTTTATATATTTAATATTAAATCCAAACAGCTTTTGGAACTGGTGGTAGAATTTTACGTTCAAAAGTAGTATAGTAAATTAAAAAAAAAACCGAAAACTCAAAGTGAGTCATTGTCTTTTACCTAATGAAAATTTGTTAACAGCTCTTGCAACCGGTTCGGCACAAGCTACATTAATTATTTTACGCAGACGACCTGTGACTCAAATTAGTTTTCCGAATGGTCAGTAGCGTAATGAGGTTCGATGTGAAGTGTAGGGTATTTTATGAATATGTTACGCGATATCTTCGTAAATTATAAACTGATTTTCATAAAGTAAAGTAAAGTAAAATTACAGCCTATAACCGTCCCACTGCTGGGCACAGGCATCCTCTCATTTCTGAGAGGGTTTTAGGGCAAGGAAATGTCCGCCGCGCTGCTCCAATGCGTTTTGGCGAACTTCACTTATCTTCGAAATATTTTTTTCTTATTCCTCAGACAAGCAGGTTTCCTCACGATGTTTTCCTTCACCGCCGAGCACGTGGTAAATCAGCACTTAAAATTTCAATTAACAATTTCATTGGTGCCGGCGGGGATCGAGCCTGGGGTAACCCTCGCGTTCTGTTATATTTACAGCGAGCGTTAACCATTTGAGCTGCCACGGAACTGGTTTTCATGATTATTTTTAATTATATATAAGTTATAGTTTAGTGGCACAACCACAAGCTCATAGTCGCTCAGCAAGCGATGGAAAGAGCTGTGCTCGAAGATTCTCTGGTGGATAAGATTCGACCGAAGAGGACCAATACTATTGATATAACCTTCCGTGTTTATAAACTGAATTGGCAATGCACTGGTCATGTTTGTCGCAGAAGCGACAACCAGTGGACGTGCTACGAAGTAGAGACCGCATCACTAACATAGTGTGAGACGGCCCTCTGACCATCTGGCCCAAGGTATTTGGTAGAAACTGAATGCGTGTAGCCAAAGATCGGAATAAGTGGTGCGCCTTGGGAGAGGCCTATGTCCAGCTCCAGTAGTGGACTGCCGCAGGTTGATGATGAGAGTTTAGCGGTCTCTATCATACGCCGCACAACACTGATGCTATCTACAGTCGTCGCCGTAGAAGACCGTCTCTCATGCGATCGGTGAGATTAGTGCGACCCAATGATATTATAAGAATTTCTACTTACAATATCATTGGTGCGACCACGTTTAATGAACTCATTAACCCAGTTGTAAACAGTTGAACGAGATGGGGCTTCATCGTGAAAGGCCAATCGATGTCTATCATAATTTTATTGTTGACTTAAATGACATCGAAAGACGTAAAAAATCATTGTACGAAAATTTTCTCGCCTTAAATTCTTGCTGACGTGACAGTCAATTTTCAATTTGCCGCCAAATCGTAAACAAATGACAAATTAATAAAATACATATCAATAATATTGGCAGTGTTCCATTTTCAAAATTTGAACTTATTTTGTTATTATATCGTTTACAAGTGGCCAGTTCTAAAAACTTTCAGTGTCGCTCTCGTATTTAGTACATGTGAGCACTAAATATAAATACAAATTGTTATATCAGATTTTAGAGTTAAATGCTCGCATTAAACTTCACAGTAAGCGAGCAAACCGGGTTTGATCTCCACCGGCACAATTTTAATTGCTTATACTACGTGTTCGGAGGCGAAGAAAAACATTGTGAGGAAAACTGCATATCTGAGAAATTATATATACCTTTTCAGTAGTGAGAACAGGCCTGCTCCCAGCAGTTGAACACATATAGGCTGTAATTTGCACGTTATGAAGAAATATTTAGTAAAATAAAACAAATTCTATATAATAAATATGTCGCCTACGCCCACGAGACCATCTAGCAAAGTGACACCTGTCGCGTGCGAGTCGTTGATCCTAACTTCAATATAAGAGAATAGTCCCTGTATTGATAAGTTTGTAAACACGACAGACAGGGCGTATCCAATTCTCATTTAGCGAATGGATGTAGTTGAGGACAATCTAATCGATATGTTCATCGAATTATAATTTCATTCATTTCTGTAATCAAATATTTTGCTCATTACATTGAATATATTAATATCCAGCTTGGATATTCAAGATTGATGTACCAGATGGCTCGCAGTCCACCTTCAACATAAAACTCTCACGCTCACCAGTCTGAGAGTTTTATGTTATCGAT